TCCCTTCTCCTCCATTCTCCTCTCAGGATATTGGGCACACATGCACACGCACCTGGTGTGAGTTTAAGCCACCGGGTCCGGGACTCACACCGCGGTCGACTACATGGGAGTTCAGTGACATAGCCATTACACTAACTACTGGTCCCAACTTTTTTAAGTAGGAAAAAAAACAGCAATTTGATACAGTACAAACACTAGAATGTAAGTTAGGAGATCTAATTTCCCTAGTTTTACCTTTGATATTATACAAATCTCTAATTACTCTGGGCCTCAGTTTCCTCACGTTTCAAAAGAGGATGTTTAGGATAGGGGAATAGCAGTTGGCATAATGGCTATGTTGCTGGACTGCCACATAGTCGACCATGGTTTGAGTTCCGGATCTGGTGGCATATACTCACACCGGGTACGTGTGCATGCGTGCCCAAGATCCCAGGAGGAGAATGGAGAAGGGACTGAGGCATGGCCATCCCACCTGGGGGGGGGGTGATTTCTTGCTTTCTGTCTCTCTGTCTCTGTCTTTCTGGTGGGCACACATGCTCTGTAGCAAAAACCTCTCCAAAAAAAAAAAAATAGAAGATGTTTAAAACGGGTCTAGATAGAGTACCCTTCAAGTCGAATTTGGATAAGAGAAAGTTAAAAGGTTCTTTTCATGTAAAAAAAATATTGGCCATGTGCTATTGCTAAAAACCTCTCCCAATACCTGCTCCCAAGCTCCCACCATGAACTTAGAAGAGGAAAGGAAGCTGAAGTAAAAGCATTTACACAAAAGAAAAAGCATCATCGGGGGACCAGCAGTTAGCGTAATGGCTATGTCGCTGGACTCCCACGTAGTCGACCATGGTTCGCGTCCTGGACCCGGTGGCTTAAAACTCACGCCGGGCGTGTGTGCGTGCATGCCCAAGATCCCGAGAGGAGAACAAAGAAGGGATTGCGGCATGGCCATCCCCCCTGGGAGTTGATTTCTCGCTTTCTGACTCTCTGTCTCTCTCTATCTGTCGGGCGAGTGCACGTGCCCTATAGCAAAAACCTCTCCAAAAAAAAAAAAAAAGAAAGAAAAGAAAAAGCATCATGACTGATAAAGTCATAGACAACGGAATGAAGAAAGGGAAAACAGGGAACTGTCATAGAACAAATAAAGCTAAAGACAATGAAATAGACTGATGCTAAAAATGTCTCCCATGTTTTTGATGACAAGAGTCTATGCATTTTATTTGTAAAAATATGGGCTAACTGTTCATTGTCAGTATCTACACAAAGAAATTTCTGGCTCACACAGTAGTCAAAATAAAAGAAAGGCCCCATATTATAATCTTACCTTACAAAGAAAGTAGTAAAAACAAAGAACCGCAACTGATTGCAATGGACAATCTAATTCAATGTCTAAAAGGCAAAACTAATAGCAAACCGATGACAAATATATCCCCTTGACATACCAAATTTGCCACTGAGTGCTACATTTAATAGGATGTCAATTTCTTCTGGAGCTAATCCATTCTTCCAAGCTACATTTTCCACAGTTTTTAAGTGTTTTTCAAAGATTTCATCTTTATTCCGTGAAGTTTTAATGGGACCTGGAAAACAGAACAACCTTAAGTAGTGAGACCTTTAAAATTCTTTGCATCCTTGTGGCCTGCAGGTGACATGATGGTGAGGGGCACTGGAGTCCCACATGGCTGACCACAGTTTGAGTGCCAGATCTAGAGAATTGCTTTCTCTCTCTCTCTCTCTCTCACCCTCACTCTGTCCATCTCTGGTCAAATTAAAATAAATAAATAATGTTAAATAAGATGATTCTTTTTAAAAAAATTCTTTCAGTCCTGAGTCTCAACAATTATGACTTGGGACTCTACAGGAATAGCTTCAGTTTTTAAAAAAATATCTTCCTAAAAAGGTCTTCCTAAAAACCCTATGAAGCCTTTAAAACTCTAAAAAACTTAACAGGAATAGCACTTTCAATGAGGAAAATGGAATTAAGCCCTAGCATCCCTGCTCTAAATCACCTGAAAACATTGAACTTGGTCTACAACTTATTTCAATATGGTAATAGTTACCAAATTTTGCTGCACATTGAAATCACCTAGGAAGTCTTTAAAAAAATCTCAATGTCTGGGGCCAGCAAGTGGCCTGGTGGTTAAGAGTGTTGTACTCCCACATGGCTGACCACAGTTCGAGTTCCAGACCTGGAGGCCTGCTTTCTCACTTTCTCTCTCTCTCTATCCCTCCCTGGTCATGTTAAAATTAAGTAAACAAAGTTAAATAAAATAATTGTTTTTTTTGGAGAGGTTTTCGCTATAGGGCACGTGCGCTCACCAGACAGACAGAGACAGAGACAGAAAGCGAGAAATCTCCCCCCAGGGGGGATGGCCACGCCACAACCCCTTCTCCTCTATTCTCCTCTCGGGATCTTGGGCACGCACACACACGCGCCCGGCGTGAGTTTAAGCCACCGGGTCCGGGACACGAACCGCGGTCGACTACGTGGGAGT